TATGGAATCTGCATTGTTCCTCGTCAACCGAGTAGCATCCCTTCCTCAGGACTTGTCTTTGTTGCATAGAAGTCAGGAGCTACATTCCCCAAAATCCTCTTCCCTTTTTGGTTCTAGGTTAGAATTGCTAATGGGAAACATTCAAGAGATTTGAAAATGCATGAGGAGAAACCATCGTTCTCTGGAAGCAATTTTGTGAAGAGATAAGAGATTTCACAGCAGCCCCCTGAAAGTTCTTTAAAATTTCAATACCTTCCAGGTAATTTTTTGGCAGTCAAAATTTCACCACTATGTCAGTAGGACCACCTCAGGTCAATATAGCCTTAACTACATTTCCTGAAGAAAGACAATGCAGGGAACAGTGAAAGAAGAAAACCTGTTATTTCCATGTTTACCTAATTTTAATTTTTAAAAATCCCCACTGATTTTGAACCATCTTTGCTTCTGCTACAAGATCTGTCAACAAGCAACTGGAGTCTCTGTTCAAGAACAATGTAATAAGTTTTACTGAAGGAATAAAGTCTATTAGAATCAAGGAAACCACTGAGTCAAAGAATAAAGGCACCAATGAAAGGAATGTTTCAGAGTTTAAGTACAGAAAATTCAATTCAAGAACATAAAGAAAAATTATGATTGGCTGACATTTAAAAATCATATTTCAATAATTACAACGCAGCTGTGAAACATGTTAAGCATTTCTTCTGAGAACAAATTGTTGAACGAAAGGAGTGGAGGACAATTGTCCTGGAAACAATAATTATTTTAACTACCCCATCCTTATTTGATAAGGGCAGTTAAAGAATGTTAAAAGTTCAGCTATAGGTAAGGCTAAAAAAAAGTGAAATCTTATGTAAAACGGTATCTAATCTGAACCCAGTTCAGCCAGTTTAGTTATGTCAAATGGCTCGAGTTTGGGGTCTTATTTACACATTCTCCTCTTTTGATCAAGTCTCAGTAAAGGGAGCTTATTCTATTCACTGACATAGGAGTAACTTTTCTTCACAAGAACTGTAGCTTGGCATTTGGCATTTTGCCATGCTGTTAGCCCCCATCTTCAAAATGAGGTGACCACTGTCAAGGTTAGTTTTGCCAACAGAGCCACATTACAAGAAAAAATTGCCTTTCTAAAAGCAATAACTAAAGGTGAAAAATCAGCTTCATCTCAAAATTTGGCTTTTAAAAAATACTTTATTTCAGACCAGAGAGAGACTTGGCTGCTGGTTAAAGACAGGCGCTGCTATGGACCAAAGACAGTATCCTTAAAATCTTATGAGCCTAACATGTGGTGACCTGTTCACTTCCCTAATAAATCCCCGCAATCGTGAGTATTGTTGGTGAGCTCTGTGTGGCCATTGCAACAGGTTATGCAACCCAGCAGAGAAATGAAGTGTCATGAGAGAATGGCTGGCGTCAGAAAGGGGTAAAAGAAGGATGGAGTGTCTGACCTCAGCCTTGGGGTATGGAGATGGATTATGTTTCTCCCTTGTATATCCAAAGAAGGTCAGAGACGACCCCCCACAGCTGTTATTCGAGCAATTCAACTACTAGCTAAAAGTTAGCCTTTAAACCTACACAGAGAAAAGCGTTCTTGGAGAAGGACATCATGCTTGCTGAAGTAAAGGGGCAGTGAAAAAGAGGAAGGCCCTCAACAAGATGGATTGACCCAGTGGCTGCAACGATGAACTCAAGTAACAATTGTGAGGATGGTGCCGGACAGGGCAGGTCGTTAAGAGCTGGAACAAACTCTACGGCAGAGTTGGTTCAACAGAGGTACCTCAGAAGAAAGGCCTGGTGATCTGCTTCGGCTTTGCTTTAGAGCACAGCTGTACTCAGACGTACATGAGGTTACCATGAGCTAGCATCAACTCAGTGGCAACTAATAACAATCGTGTAATTTGATAGACCTCACAGAAGGTTCCTGATTGCTTGAATTCACAGAACTAGTGATTAGTTCTATAAAATACCTCCAGAAATACAAATATTAAGGTCAATATCATTACTAAAACTAATATAAAGTTTTAGTAATCATGATTAAGAACTAAGAAACTACATGCTAAGCTCCATCACCATTCAATTTCTCAATACCTTCTTGAAATAGGCACTGTTGGTACAATTAGCATTTTATGAATGGGAAAAGTGAGACTCAAGAGAGTTAAAGCTAATAAGCCTGTTTCTTTGACAAAAAATAAAGAGCAACTATGTTCTGGGAACAATGAATTCATGTGTTTTCAAATATTAAAAGAAAAACGACTCATTAAGGTATTCTTCAAAAGGAGTGACCCAAATATGCTCCTCTAAAACCCAAAGTGGAAGAGTGAAAAAGAAAAAAAAAATGGGTAGAAGAATGTATGCAATTGAATTGTGGTGTTGTTAACAAACATTAATAAAATGTGAATTGCCAAAAGAAAAAGAATTAAGAATTACAAGAAATATGATCAGAATGTTCCTTAGGAGCAAGGAAAGTGAGACTTCCCACACGTCATTAGAAATGACTTATAGCTACAAAAGTTTGGTAAAGTGAAGGATGAGGAAACACAAGAGAACCCCTCTATAAGATGAGTTCACAGTGGCCCCAGCAAAGGGCTTGGACATAGCAACAATCACAAAGAGCATAGGGCCAAGCAACACCTGGTTGTGTTAAGCATAAGGTCACCATGAGTCAGAGACTAGTTAGTAACAACGACGCATATACGATACATTCAGCAATGTACCAGGAAAGGATTTCTTTGACCTTCAAGAGTTGCCATTAGTATTGTAGAAATAGGAAAAGCAAAACCAGTCCATGTCTCTGGGCCCTGGTTTCACTGCGAGATCATGATTGCTTGGTGGAAAGAGCCTGGGCCTTGTATCAGGTCGACTAAGCCCAGTTTAGCTCCATACTCACAAAACAGCCTTGGAAGAGCAATAAAGCTATTGAAGCTGTTCTCCTGAATTGTAAGTGTCACCACTCTTTCTCTCTGGATGGCCATTCAGTTTAACTTTGCAACACGTGTGTCATGGATTGAATTATGTAACCCTCCCCCAACGCCACCAAATTTTTTCCTTGAAGTCCTTAACTCTATGTGATGCTATTTGGGAAACAGTTTGTATTTTCTTTCTTTCTTCTTTTAATGTTAGTGAGATCATAGTTTAGTAGGGTGGATCCTAAAACTAATCCTTTCTAAATGATGTTCTTTAAAAAGGGGCAACAGAGAGAGAACCACACAGGGTAAAGACAAGTTCCATTTGAAGACACATCTGCAAGTAGACAGGACACGAAGCAAACATTGTCCCTTTGATCTGGCAGAGAGAGAGAGCCTAACCCTGCTTAACCTCTGAGTTTGAACTTCTAGCCTTCAGAACTGTGAGAGAAGCTGTTCTTTAAGGCCACCTACTTGAAACAGTTTTCAACAGTCACCCTCAGAAACAAAGACAACGTGATTGAGTCATGGAAGTCTGCACCATCCATTGGTGAAAGGCAGAGATTAAACTCTTTTTTTCCCCTCATTAAAAAAATTATCTAGCTTAATACCCAATTCTTTCTTAGCACTTAGAGAATTTGAGGTCTCCAATCGTTTAACATGTCATCTGTAAATAGGAGCAGATGCCATCCATGTTCGGATTCGCATAGCTAAGGAAAATGTAGCCCAAGACACATTGAGGCAGCACACATCTTCCCACCATGGAACGCTCAGTGGAGGTGGACAGTGGTCCAGGGCCATCTCCCTTTGGGAAGGTTGTTCCACCATTTGCTACTCTGCCTAAACTCCTTCTTGTATACTGTTTTCCCTCCAATTTCCTCTTGTGCCCTGCATTCTTCTCCACTGATGCAGCTTACTGAACCACCGTGAACTAAATGTTCCAAAAGAATTACCCAAGTGTCTGTCTGCCTTGGAAAACATTGTATTTGTGTTATCTGTGCAAGTCAAGTGGCAAAGCTCTCACACACTGGGAGCCAGACAACCCCACGTGGTATGAGGAAGCAAGGGCCAGCCAACGCGGCCTGTCAGCGGTGGGGAGAA